TTATAGAAGGAGTAGCACTTTTTGATCCCCAAAAGTACGCCACCATATGAATCATCTCGGTCCAGGCGGATAATGTTAAAATCGTGGAAGTTTAGTTCATCTTCAGAAGAAAGCCAAGTTTCACAGAGTGCAAATATATCACAATCAGAATTGTGAATCAAATACTTGAACGAGTCTAATTTAGGTATTAAACTACGACAGTTCCATTGTAATAAAGTGATCATATCTTGATCCTCACTCGACGAATTATCCATCGAAAGATATGAATTCACCAATGAGGGGCCATGATGCAGTCAATTGCTTGAAGTAGTTTCCGACTATAGGAACAAGCAGGTCAATAAGCCCTCGAAGTGGCGATTCGTCGAGAAAGCCGAGGGCATTCAAAATGTTATCCACAATGTCCTTAAATTTAATCTTTCCTCGCTTGGACGGGAGAGTTTTCTTTGAATTGCGAGTAGACGTGGTGTTTATTTTTGGTAATCTCTTACGATTGCCTTTATTAGGTAGCGGCGGGGTGGAAAAGCTGCAGCAAGGATCAGATGGAGCAGCAATTACCGATTTGTTCGGCTTTTTCAATGAATCCCCGCTACCTTCAGATTTTTGCATGCTTTTGAGAGTGGTTTTATTTTTTTTCCGGCGCACTCCCGGGGAGCTAGTCGGCTTCCTTTTACCAGGGGCGTGTACCTCCGGAGACTCACTCTCATCTGCTATGTCAGAGTCCAGTTCATCGGAAGACAAAATCTCAAAAGTGTTTTCATTTTGAGCGGCTGATGCCAACGAAGCAGAGGTTCCATTTTGCAACTTAACCATTTCTGCAAACGTCAGCTTGGAGCGTTCTTTTATTGAACGCTTCACATTATTGGTACGCTTCTTGTACGCGGGGCAGTCCTGCAAAGCATGAAGAGGTTCTTTGCCACAGTAAGCACATTTAGTTGCTTCCTGTTGGCAAGCACCCTCCATGTGGTCTTGGCTACATTTGCCACAACGGGGCTTGTTGTCACAAAAAGCAGCTGTGTGTCCCAACTTTTTGCAGTTGGTACAATTGTATACCCTTGGTACAAAAAGTCGCACCGGGAAAAAAACATTTTCAATTTCTAAAAACTTTGGGAGAACCGATCCAGCGAAAGACACCTGTAGTGAGCCTGAAGGGGAATAAGTCTTTTGACCATCTACCGTGGTCGCTGAATACAATATCCTGCAACCCAGAACGTCCACGGTAGATGTTGCAGCATTTTGAAGGCGCCCCATACCTTCCATGACGTCATCACACGTCAGGCTCACTGCAGAGACCACGCCGTCTATCTCCACATCTCGAGATGGGATGTAGACGTAATACTCTTCATTATAACCCTCGTCGTCAGCAATGTCATTTGCGACTTTATATGTGAGTGCAGTTATACGCAGTTTGTTCCGATTGACCTGATGAAATTCGGTCCCCGGAAAACGACGCGTCAACGTTCTTTTAATCCCTAAGAAGTTTAGGGCTTTCTCTTTCTGCCGAAAGTAGACAACCCAAGGCGAAGCAGAAGACGCCTGGTAATGACGCTTTCTAACTTTATCATTGGGAGGCTTGACGCCCCCCTGTGCATCATCCATACGAAATTTAAAACTTTCGTTAGGAAGTAATTAATTTTATTTTTACTTTTTTTGATTTACGAACCACCCTATGTGGAATCGTTTACTGGGGGAGAGACAGACGATTCACAAGCAAACAGCCAGAGGAATGGGTATACAAAAAACAGATACGTGCTACTATTTGCCCTTACCGTTTCTACTGCTTATATTGTTGCTGCTCTGCCACAATAGATGCCGGTCGTACACACCGTCCGTGCGGTGGCTCACTGCTTCCTGCTGGTAATTGTTTCCAGTTGTACGTACACACCGTCCGTGTGTTTTGCCGTATGCCGAATTTCGATATCGTCGAAGCGGGTTTTAAAGGTGGACAGTCCGACCGTAGGCTTCGCCAGGATCGGCTGCTTCCTCCAGAAATGCGCGAGTCACCTGAGGCACAAAAACTTTTTCCGGAAAATAACGTTTCGCGGTGCAAAAAACACTTTCAAAGCTATGCCTTGTGACGAGACAACAGACCCTGATGTTGCTCATTCGCTAGCAGAACGAGGAATGGCAAAACAAACATAGTGTAGTACTAGAATTTCGACAAGAATGGGGTGCGTTAATCGATTTACTTGGGACCAATAGGCTAGTCAAGTAGTGAGCCAATTTAAAATCGTTTGTTTCGTATTGATTGTTGATATTACCGAGTATTGTCGAGATTTTGCAGCACTGGTGGTACCTCCTATCCAACACAATTTCTCGACTGTCCTCCATCCAACTGAGCTGATTTTATTGTATGTGATTGGGTCAACCATAAACTTGTCAGCTTCAGAAAATCAACCCAATTGGCTAGAAAACAGCAGAGAAATTGCGGTGGATGGACGGCACCTCACACCGGGCTTTTCGGGGGATTCTTATAATGGTTCATTATTGTGCGCGATCATCCTACATCTCTATAAATTCAATCAGGCAGATCGACTTTTCGTTCGGCTTCGGCTTGTTTCATTCTTCTGCGGATGTTCTTCGGCATGACGATGACGCGCTTGATAAAGATGGCCCACAGTTGATTTTCTGACGATAAGCAATTGTACCCGAACAGTGGCGGTGTGGCTTCTTCACTACTTCTCTGGCTAGATCAGGCAGCCTTGGTAGGAAGCTGCTTACGGGGAGTTTGTCAAGCGCTTCACATGTCGTGTGTTGGGCGATCGATATGAACACGTTCGAAGTTCCAAAGGAAATTCGGCTTCGGCTTGTTTATTTTGGGACCAACTATGTGATGGCTGTGTTCGGAAAGACACCTTGTGGTCTAAGCATATTTATGGGAAATTTTGATGCTACCCATTTTAGGCTCATTTCTTAGCCGTTTAACTATTTTCATTATTTGTACTATATGCCACAAAATTGCTGAATGAAGCCTCCGTCGAATGGCATATTGCATGACATATTTCACATTAATGCTTTGGAGAAATATGCATTCACAATCTTTCATAATTTCGTTACATGTTCCATTTTCGGTGTCCACAAAGTGTACCCCCATATAGAAATCACAGACGTAGTCCTACGTCAAAAAAGTTTCCCTTTAGGATGGTATGTAAGCATTTGATTTTTTTTGCAGGTATCTTTAGAGATTTTTTTTTTCTGTCCGGGACCTAACACCACTACGACCAGTAATTTGATCTATTGTAGAATATCCCGTGTCCTTAGTTTAGTGCATGTCGTATTACTCCATCACTATTGAGAAATGATGAAGTATTCGATTTTTTACAGTTGTCATTCTAGTATTTATCGCAAGGATCCGACTCTAATTGAAAGGTCCCGCTATTTGAAACACCCTCCAAAGGCGTGCCCCTTTGTCAGTCAAAATTGGATTCCTTAGGAACAAAATTAAGGAATGACACCGATAATGACCATGCTCTTAACCACTTCAAACTAGAGAACAACGAATAGAAGATTAGGAACCACATAGATGAAGACTAACTAACTCATTTTTTCCTTGTTTCAAGATCATCCTCGGTGGACAAAACCAAGTCTTGCCACTATCAACAAGGCATAAAAAGCAACAAGGACTAAGATGTGTTCCTTTGATTACAGAAAGTCGGGACTAGGAATCGGTGGTAGATCTTACATCCCGTAACGTACAATGAAAAGGTGATCTACCCACGTTACGGGGCAATTTTTAGAGATATATTGATTTAAGTCATCTAAGAATTTAAAAAAATATATTATTTCGTTAAACTGTTCGAGCGCTTAGTTAACGAGGGGTCCATCGGTTCAGCATACTGTAGGATGATTCATCTATTGCCATAGCTAGAGCTATCGAATAAGTACGAAAGAAATGGTTTTTAGGAACCTCGAACAAAAAGTGGATGGTTTCAGCGAGATTTGCTCACCGCTCTTCTACTCTTGTGTCACACATATTTCCACATATGTAATTCATTTACTGTAACAATTTGTACGACCCCCTTCCCTCAGTCAGTAGCGGATGTCGGATAATTGAACAGCTCCATATCTTAATCAACAGGCGAGATAAGATCATTGTACTCCATGCACCTGTCATTTTAAACTCATTGTCCACCCGACAGTGCCATTCTTCTTTAGATTTAGGAACTTTCCTTTGGCTACTCGCTAGTCCCCTCGTCGGGAAATTTCCTACATTTTCCACCCTCACATTAGCATATTATGCTTTTCATGTATCCAGTACCATTCCCAGTGTCCAAGGGGGGATTCACCGCGTGCGCGTGTTATCGGTGATAAATTTTGCTTTTGCTTTTCCGCACACCCACACTAGAACATATCTCGAGTAACATTTGAAAACGGCACGAAAGCTTTTGTAAACAAAAGTTTTAAGGCCATGCACTGAAGTACGCCCACACAAACCAGCAACATCATCGGGTAGAGGAAATTCTTTCCCTCTCCGATAGTGGTATTGGTTTGCGTGGGCATCCGCCGGCTTTTATTTACGAAAGCTTTTGTGCCGTTTTCAAATGTCACGCCTGATATTCGCTACACGCCTGTTGTTTTCCCTACAGGAGTATGTTGTCCTCGTTCCCACCTACTGATAGAAGCTGTCCTGTTTCTACCCATTGCTAGCCCTGTTCGTTGCACACATGCTCCCACACAACGAGGGTGGACTGCGTGATACGACACTGGTCAACGGGAGTTTCGGTTCCTAGTTTGGTTGGGTATTTTGAAAATGCATATTAGGAAGCCCACAGCTACTGGTTGTTACAACAAGACCCATGCGGCTCCATAAGTGTAACAAATTTGTTTCCGCTAAAGAAGCAACTTCAATCAATCTCCTGAAATAGTTGGTTACAAAAATTTGACGCCCAACGTAAACATTATGTATGTGAGAGCCAGCACGGGGTGTCCACACGGCAACCAATCCCAAAACACACCCACACACGCACGGGAAGCCACGAGCAACGACGAATGGGGACGGTCGGTCGCGGTCAGAGCCAAAAAGGCATCAGCAAAAATCATCCACCATTTGGGGAGGAAAAACTTCAATGTTCAATAATTTTCTTCTCTCACTTCTCTGAAACGCATCAAAAACCATCGAAATATACTTAAAAGATCCGGAACAAAACAAGCAGCAAGACGAAAATTCCATCAAAACCGAAGTTTAAGCCGAAAATTGTTGAATATATTGTGTATTGCTCTGTGTGTCCTCTCTTCGAAGTAACAACAAGTTTTTTAGTTTTCAAAAACCGTTTGTGTGTCGTGTAAATAAGAAACGAAAATCGCCACTTTTGTTCTTTCAAAACGCCAGAAGAAAAAAAAAAGGATATGTAAAACGGATAAAAAGCTGCAAACTTGGTTGATGTTTGAGCTGTTTTGAGTTCAATTGTTGAAAAAAAAAAAAAAAAACATACAAAAAAAATAAATTTGCAAGCCTTCCGGAACGGAATAATCGAAGAAAAACCACCGCCTGAAAGAAAGAAAAAAGTCTGGATTTTCCAGCGCACAAACGCAAAGCAAAAACAAGCAACAAGAATGCCTGATTGTTGAGCGATGATAACCCAACAGCGAACATAAAACACAGAGATTACCCAGCCAGAAAAGCGACCACGAAAAAAAAAGAAAAACTTCAAGCAAACTATTTTTCCTCATCAAGCGAAAAAAAAAAAATGCATGAGGGTGTGAAGAGAAATTGATTTGTGATCTGATAAAATTTTCAAGCCGAGAAGGACCAGCTCCGTTCGGGGACTGGACTCTATTCCAGGGGCTAATCCCCCCACCCCCAAGTGGAGCAGAAATTACCGTGAAACCACCATACATTCGTCCTTAAACAAACATCGAATTTTTAAACAGAAAACACAAACGAAAAATCAAGGGAATCACCACACCAGAAGAAGGTGGGATCAAAATTGCCGAAGTCTTTTTTGTTTCGTTACAAAGTGATGTTGAGCATATGATATATTCTACATTGTTACACAGACAGTTGATAAGTGAATAAGGATAAGCGAGTAAGGGAAATATTTAGATTAAGGTGTTATAAGAGCCAGAAGTTTGCGGAATCCGTGAAGAATCGGAAAAAAATGGATCGCTGAAAGCATGCAGAGAAAATAGGATACAAGACAAGTGCCCGGAGACCACCACCTCGGAAAGTGAAAGCAAGCAATCGGGCAGTAGGCAGTGCCGTCGTTTCGATTTCGCGAGTGCGCTCTCTCCTGATCCACAAAGGGCGCTCTCCCGAAAACTAAAATAAAAACGCGACTCCGTAGCAGTAGGCCACTGCTGCTGTTTCTGTGGATTCTGTTCGCCTTCGGGTTTCGGTTCGGTTCTCGTGTGCCTAGGGTTACCCGCAAATCAGGACGATTGTTATCATTGGACCACCCTTAACTGTTGTTGCTCGGCGTGTAAAACCGCTTCATTCTTCGCCACCCCACCACTAACACCACTACACAAGCACAACTTTTCACACCCCGCACCCCACCAATTTAACCAACTGCGGCAAAAATGGGTGATGACAGGAATAACAAGAAGATTCTGCAAAATATAAAAATGCCAGAGCAGAGCAACGACTACCGAGTGGTGAGTAATTTTCGCGATTTTTGCCGTGAAAAGTGTCATTTCCGGACCGGAATTCGATCTAATCCGCATCCTGAAACTTGTAGGTGGTGTTCGGCGCTGGAGGTGTCGGGAAAAGTTCGCTGGTTCTCCGGTTTATCAAGGGGACATTCCGGGAAAGCTATATCCCGACCATCGAGGACACCTACAGACAGGTATAGTAGGGTGGAAATCGCAGGATCCTTTTTCCTTCGTTGCACTTCGTCGTCCTGTGTGGTGCAGTTTGGCGCAAACCCGTCATTCGTCACTGTCACGGTTCGGTTCGGGAAGAAGAGTGGGTGTACGATATGAGCTATAAATGGTTTGCTATGATTGCTGTCCATCCCACATGTGTCACACATGTCCCGGTGCAGTTGGGCAAAAGCAAGCCTTGCCGATGTGAGTGCGTATGTCTCTGCACTAGCGCGATGATGATTCTGACTGTCCGATGACGGTGGTGAATGATGATGATGACGGTGGAAGAGGAAAATTCGCTAATGTGTACTGGGCGTTCGCAAGGCAACGGGGCCGCGCTTGTGTTGGTATTGGTGTTAACCGTTTGGCTCCCCTCGTTGGCCGTCGCAGTGTAGTCGCCGCGAGATAGACGGCAAGGGTGACTTCATTTCATTGATAAAACAACGCGATTCAGCCAACCGACTGCACGTGCAGTGGGCCGGGGTGTGGAAAAACATGTGGCTATAAATGCGATTCCGATGGAGACGCGTGGTCGGCTATGAAGTAATCACTCGTGTGTGATCATGATTGTGATGAAAGAATGAGAAGTGTCGGAATTTTTTTACTGGATTTATTGATTTCGTGACATTGATTTAATAATTCCATTTGCACTCTAGTCCGAAACGACATTTAAGCTGGAAAAGAATATTTACTTCGTTTCACTTTTGGCGGTTAATGTCTTCTTACAAGTTGTTTGAAATTGAATGATCCTTGTTCTGAGCATTCTTCGGTGCACGGGAAAATAATATTCACATTATTAAAAAAAAAAACAGGGTGGCCAGTGACATTTCATTTTGAAATTCCAGGTTTTCCCGGTTCAATTCTTAAAAATTTCCCGGTTGTTGTTATTCAACAAAAAACAACGCATTTTTTACAACGTGTCCAACTGTAAATTTTCAGTGATTATTTGTGGGTAAAATAAAAGCCAAATTACAGAAAGTGTTTTCTAGAGCTATAGGAAAAATTCAACTATATGAGTCACTCAATGTATTCAAAACAATTTATTGATCTTTCAAGATAATTTGATAAATCGAATTCTACCACTTTTTATGCTCGATACATCTTATGATTTCAAAGCCCTAGAATTTATTGAGTGACAGAGATTGAGGTCACTGGGCCAAATGCTATCTGGATGAATAGGTTATAAGACAGAATTGTGAAGAATAAGAGATTTAATTTAAAAAATTCTGAAAAATGATTTATTTATTAGAGCAAATTGATAGTGATATCGGATAGAGAAAATGTGAATTCACTCCATTGTCTATACTAACATAAACATTAACCTTTCAGTACTCGCGCTGATGTACAAAGTTAACCACGAAAAAAATGTGAAACCTACTGAGCTCGCTCAACGTAAAACTATACATGAAATTTAATACCCACCAATACTTAAAAAAAAATTACTGAAAGATTATTTACTAAAAAGACACATTCCCAAGATTCTGGGGCTTTGAAATTTGTGTAGAGTCTGAAGATAGAACTTTTCTTCAAAATTTGGGATTAAACACAATCTTCGTGATGCAAGATTTTGAGAAAAAATAGTTAAAATGTGAGAGTTTAAAAATTTTCCAAGATCACAGATTTGAAAAAAAAATCATATTTATTAAATAGTCATGCAGTCATAATTGTCAAGGCTCTGAGACTTGGAAGCATTTTAAGGGTTATAACAAATTACAGTCAAGATTCCTATAGTACGGTTAATAGGGACCGTACTATAGGAACCGGCATTAACGAATACACGTAGCATATGGGATTGGAGCTAATTGGGACCAAACACTGATTGTACGGCAATTTGAAGAGATAACTTCCTGATGTCTTTTGAGAAGTTATTAAGCAGAAAGTTGGTCCCCTTTTGGGACGATTCAGTTTCCGGTAAGGCACAAGTCTGATCCTGTGGAAGATCCGGAATATCCGTAAAGTGGCCAATTCATGAAACTGATCCTAGAGCTCCGCGGATTTTTCGAAACCACTCATAAACGTCTTATCAGAATAAATTCGGAGTTGTGACCGGAATATGGGCCCTAGGGACCACGGGATAGTTCACCGGAAGATCCGAAACATCCGTAAAAGTGGTCAATTCATCAAACTGGTCCTAGAGCTCTGCCGATTTTTTTGAAACCACTCATAAACGTCTTATCAGTTTATCTATGAGCAGTTCTAAAAAACCACAGAGTGCTAAGATCAGTTTTCTTGAACTATCCACTTTAACGGTCCATCCAATAACGGCGCCGGTGGTGTAGTGGTAAGCGTGATTACCTCTCACCCCAGCAGGCCTGGGTTCAATCCCAGTCGGCGCCGCCGGGATGTTCTGAGGCATAACATCTCTGATCACGCCTTCCTTCGGAAGGGAAGTAAAGCCGTTGGTCCCCGGTTCATGAGTTGATGGGTCGATAGGTAGGGTCCAGGTGTGAGAGCTGCCTTCCTGGCGCGTCGGTAGCATTGGTGCTCAGCACGGAAAACAAGATCGACGGAAAACAAATCAAAGGAAAAAAAAAAACGGTCCATCCAATGGACTCTGTGGTCCATTTTCCAGTCACAACTTCGAGTTCATTCTGATGAGTTGTCTATTATTTTCCACAGGAGCGTTCATGGTCTCCAGGGTCTATTTTCCGTCCATAACTTCGAATTCATTATTATAAGTCGTCTATGAGAGTTTAGGAAAAAAAAAACGGAGTTCTTGAATCAGTTCCATGAATTGAGCCTTTTACGGATGTTTCGGATCTTTCTGAGGACCATCCACTGCACAATGGCCCCAAAGCCGTATTTAGGAAGACAAAAATGTTTGCGCCCAAACCGTCAGTTTTAGGTATATAGTGTCTTCGGGAAAGTTGCTTGGTATTTTTTAACCAATTTGAAATTAGGATGGTCCTTAAAATTGTTGAATGTGAATGGCCGATCTTTTTATGTTAGTGAAAATAGGGTGGTTGAGGGAGATTTAAAAATACATTTTTTTATTATTTGAGATACACTAATGCAATGTTCTGAACGTTGTAGAACAATCAATTCGAAGCAATTTTGCTCAAGACACCAAATTTCTATCTCTAATGGTTCATGAGTTATGATTTTTAAACAAGCAGGTTAGGATGGCCCCTAAAAAACAGATTTCTTCGAATATCTTTTCGTAAGTTCATTTCTCGTAAAAATCTTGTTTTGGTTACATTTAGAACTTATGATGACGCATATTTTTGCTGAAGCAACCAGGCTGCTATCTTTTTTTTATTATTTGAAAATTAATGGAGATTTTCTTCAAAAAAATATTTCTATTAAAAAGACAATGTCTCTAAATGGAGCAAACCGATTTTCAACCTTTTGATTTCATTATTGGTGGAAAAACTGTCAGAGCGTTTTTTGTTTAACACATTTAATTGAATTTAAAAAAAAAATCTTTTTTTATCAAAAACTAGCCATAACTTTTAAATACAGGAGATATCAAATTAGTGACTTCTGCAAAAATATGCGCCATAAAAAGTTCTAAAAGTGTAAGTATTTAGAACAATGTTTTTACGAGAGGTTAGGGCTGTCCCTAGAAAATCTGATTCTTTAAATATTATTTATACGTTGATGACCAATAAAAAATATTTAAGGAAAGATTTTCTAGGGACCACTCTAACCTACTCGTTTAAAATAACCATAAGTCATGAACCATAAGAGATAAAAATTTGATGCCATCAGCAAAGTTGGTTCAAATTGATTGTTCTACAACTTTTTAAAACACTGCATTAGTCGATCTCAAGTAATAAAAAAGGTTGAATTTTAAATTCACCAGTTTTAAGGACCAGCCTAAATTCAAATCAGTTAAAAAATACGAAGAAACTTTCCCCAAGACACCACCAAGTGATGGTTTTTGGTGCTAATATTTTTGTCTTCATAAATACGGCTTTGAGACCATTGTGCATTGGTCCCCAGGGTCAATTTTCTGGTTATAAATCCAAATTAATTCTGATAAGACGCCAATGAGTGGTTTTGAAAAAAGCGGACCTCTAAGCTGAATTTGAACTGAATTTTTATGGCTGTTCAGGATCTTCCTGGTGAACCATCTCGTGGTCCGTCTAAGCGTTCATATTCCGGTCACAACTTCAAATTCATTCTGATAAAACGTTTATGAGTGGTTTCGCAAAATTTATGGAGCTCTAGGATCAGTCTCATGAATTGCCAACTTTTGCGGATGTTCCGGATCTTTCGGTGGACCATCCCGTGGTCCCCAGGGCCCATATTCCGGGCACAACTCCGAATTCATTCTGATAAGACGTTTATGAGTGGTTTCAATAAATCCGCGGAGCTCTAGGATTAGTTTCATGAATTGACCATTTTTCAGGATGTTTCGGATCTTCCGGTGAACCATCTCGTGGTCCCAAGAGTCCATGTTCCGAACACAACTCTGAATTTATTGTGATAAGACGTCTATGTGTGGTTTGAAAAAATCCGCGGAGCTACAGGATCAGTTTCATGAATGGACCACTTTTACGGATATTCCGATTATTATAGTGGATCATGCATCAGTCTAATATTCCATGGTGTCTACTAACTTTGCTGGTTTTCATGGCAACTTTTATTTATATAATTTGAATGATTATTTTCTGATTTTTAAATGCTTTATTTTTTAACAAAAATGCTGCTATTTTCAAGGGTAGCATTTTACAACAAAAAACCTATTCATGTATTATGATTTTCCAAGTGTGTGGCACCATTTTATGTTAATAACAAACTGGTAATAATGAGAGAAAGAAGGATTAGTATTTTCCATTTAATTCCACTACTTTATTTGCTTATCCTTGACAGATACGCGTATTTCGTCTACAATGTGCAGACTTCTTCAGTGTCTTGTACTAATACTCGACTGGTAATATTTCAATATGAAGAACTATCTAGTTCCAGGAGTCAAAAATAAGTTTTACTAAGGTCAATTTTTCGCTTTACTGCTAAGCCTGAAATAACAAAAAAA